AGATAAAGCTTGTCCCCAAACCAGGACCCAGTAGAATGCAGGCCCCCAAATTCCCAGTGTGGTTTTAAGGAAAGGCAGGTGTTCTGAAAGACTCAGGACTGGGCTTGTGTCCAACACTGCTGGGTGCCTCGGGCCACTGGTTTCTCCCCCTCTCTGGACTCTGCATTGCCCCTTGAGAATGTTCAACAACTCTGGAACTCTGGCCTCGGTGAGGAGGCTTCTTATGCCTGTGTCTGTGCTGTTTTGCAGGTGGCAGCCCTGAGCCCTAATGCTTGACCAGATGGAAACCCGCCAGCTTCTGCTTCTACGAAGTGAACACGCGGAGCTTGGTCCCCAGCTGGGGAAGAGGCCAGAAATGGCCTCAGTGAAATAATCCAGCCCCAACAGGCGGAAGGAGCCGAGAAAAGGCTAGAAGTGCAGTGCGGCTGCTGGTGACTCGAAGAATCCTCCTCTGATTGCTATTTTCAACGTTCTTTGGGGACTCCCTGAGGCGAAGAACCATGTAGGAAAATGGGACCAACTCCCGGATGTCCTGAGCCTCAGAACCCCTTTCGTGACCTAAAGAAGCTCCCGTTGATCTCAGGAGGGCTGGTGAGCTCTGTCCACCACTCTCTCGGCCAAACCCAAGTGCTGGACTTGCTCTGCTGCCCGGGTCTTGGCAGTCACCTTCGCGGAGGGAATAAGACTGAAGACCCCCAGGGGTTCCATCGCTAAGGGGAGCTTGGGAAAGGCAGCCCTCTCCCTCCCTTCCCGGGGTCCCCCCGCCCCCCAGCCAAGCTCCAGCTAGCCAGTCCGGAATGATCCCACTATGGCCAAGCTCTGGTTCAAATTCCAGCGGTACTTCCGCCGGAAACCTGTGCGTTTCTTTACCTTCCTGGTGCTCTACCTGACAGCCGGGAGCCTCGTCTTCCTTCACTCTGGCTTTGTGGGCCAGCCCGCTGTCTCCCAGAACCAGGCCAACCCCGCCGCGGGGGCCCCAGCCGAGGGCGCTGAGCTAACCTTCCTGGGCGACTTGCATCTGGGTAGAGGCTTCCGGGACACGGGCGAAGTCGCGAGCATTGCCCGCAGGTATGGACCCTGGTTCAAGGGCAAGGATGGCAATGAGAGAGCCAAGCTGGGTGACTACGGAGGAGGAGCCTGGAGCCGAGCCCTCAAGGGGAGGGTCGTCCGGGAGAAAGAGGAGGAGAGAGGTAAGAGGGGCAAGCGTTTGGGCAAGGAGGGTGAAAAGAGGGAAGGGGAGATGATTATGTAATAACAGCCATCAGTTTTCAGTGTCTACTGTGAATCGGCCGTCCAATAATTATAGCAATAAATATTCATTAGGTTTCATTATCACCCCCATTTCACAAAGGAGAACATTGAAGCTCAGAGAGATTAAGTAGCTTGCCCAAGGTCACACAGCTTGTAAACAGCCAAGCATGGATTTGAACCCCACAACTGTCAGAGTTCAAAGTCTGGCCCTCCCCTGCAGCCTTTTTCCAGTCCTTGTTAAATACACATGAAAATAAAAACAGCTAGCATCTATGGAGCACTTACTATGGACCAGGTACTATTCTAAGCACTTTCCATGTATTGAATTATTACCACGACTCTCGGTGGAAGGTGCTAGTATTCCCATTTTAAAGAAGAGGAAACTGAGGCACCAAGAGCCCAAGGTTACTTAGCTAGTGAATGACAGAGCTGCTCTATCACATTGCTTCTCAGCCTTGGTGATGGTTCCCTTGGTGATGGCGCCTGGGGGACATCCTTGCCCTGGGCGTATTTTGTTGCATTTTCTTAGCCTTTCATAGTCAAAAAAGGGCTTTTCTTTGTGAGCGCATCACCTTATTTGATTTTCACTTGAGCAAGGAGTGTGATCCTAGGCCCAGTTAACAGATGAGGAAACTGAGGCTTGAAGAAGTGAAGTCACTTGCCCAAGGCCACGCGGCTGGTAAGTGGCATCGTTGGAGCTCAAATCAGACCCTCTGGTCTGAATGACTGACTCTAGGACTGCTTTCCAGAGTCTGCTGACGTCTCTGCCCATCTGACCAGCATGCTGGGGAGGACCCCCCCAACCCCTGCAATTCATGAGAGTAACACGAATGAATGTTTTGAGAGCCTGGGTCAGATGGTGTGGGAGGATCCATCGCCAATCAGGACAGAAGGAAAACCTCCTGAGCGTTGGTGTTCTCTGCCACATGTCACACTTCCACTGTGATTTAACTCATGAAGGGAAGCAGCATTAATGGAGGGGACTCCTCCCGGGAAGCGCATTCCCCTCCTTCAGCCCCATCCTGCACCTGGCCCAGGAGCCATCAGAAAGTCCCTCCCTTCCCTCCCTCAGGCTTTTCTTAGAAATCTGCATTTTTAAGAACCCAGTGTTCTTAGGGGATAGAGAGGTGGAAAGTGGCAGAACAAATTAGGGGACTTGTGGCCCAAGCAAGTAGCTTCCGCTCATCATGCCTCAGTTTCGCCATCTGTAAAATGGGAATAATGACCCCTTTTTTCCAAAGCTTCTCTGAGAGTTCAGTGGCACATAGGAGGTTCTTAGAGGGGATCAGGAGATTCTCGTGGGTCTACCCTGGGAAGGGACCCCATCTTGTAGGCTACGTTGATGGAGAAATCATGATGTGGCTTCTGTGTCCCCCTTCTCCACTCACCAAGCTCCATCCCACCCCAGTACTCCACACTCCATTTGGTACTTTACAAGTCCCAAAGTTTGTCACAAGCCTGAACCTTAGGATATGCCCCCATTCCGCTTAGGATAAATTCTAGAGTTTCTACCATGGCCCATCTCTCTAATTTCATCTCCTAACACTCTCCAGCCCTGTCACCACACCGCGCCCACCGTCCTGAATCTTGCCGTTCATTGAACACACCAAGCCCCTTCCGACTTCAGGATCTTTGTACAGGCAGCCCCTTTCACCTGGGATGCTCTTCCCCTGGAGCAGCGGTTCTCAACCTTCCTAATGCCGCGACCCCTTAATACAGTTCCTCATGTTGTGGTGACCCCCAACCATAAAATTATTTTCGTTGCTACTCTATAACTGTAATTTTGCTACTGTTATGAATCGTAATGTAAATATCTTTTTGTTTTCCGATGGTCTTAGGCGACCCCTGTGAAAGGGTCGTTCGACCCCCACAGGTTGAGAACCGCTGCCCTGGATCTTGGCATGGCTCCCTTCCTCCCTTCCGTCAGGTCCCCAGTCAAATCTTGCCTTTCCATACAGGCCTTCCTAGACTGTTCTAACTAAAGTAGCCCAGTAGACCACACCTGATCCCAGCCATATGCCCCATTTTATTTTTGTCACAACACTTCTCCCTATCTGAAAGCATCCCGGTTATGTGTTTGCTTCCATGTTTATAATCTGCCTCCCCTACTAGACTGTCAGGTCCATGAGGGCAGGGAGGTTGCCCGTCCTGGTCTATCAGAACCTGGGACAGCACCTGGCACAAAGGTGGTGCTCAATACTTACTTGTAGAAAGAAAGAAAGAAAGAAAGAAAGAAAGAGAGAGAGAGAAAGAAAGAAAGGGGAAGGGGAGGGGAGGGGAGGGAAGGGGAGGGGAAGGAAGGAAGGAAGGAAGGAAGGAAGGAAGGAAGGAAGGAAGAAAAGAAAAGAAAAAAGAGAAGAGAAGAGAAGAGAAGAGAAGAAAAGAAAAGAAAAGGAAAGGAAAGGAAAGGAAAGGAAAGGAAAGAAAAGAAAAGAAAAGAAAAGAAAAGAAAAGAAAAGAAAAGAAAAGAAAAGAAAAGAAAAGAAAAGAAAAGAAAAGAAGAAAGAAAGGACCATCCCTCTGCCTGGAGAGCCTTCCAGGATTAGTGATACTCTTCCTCCAGATCTCAGCTTAGCTCACCTGCAGGAAATTGCCCCCAACCCCTCTCCAGGCATGATCAAAGCCTCCTCTGACATGGCCTTGATATGAATGGTGTGCGCCTGGGCTTGTCAAGGTCCGCTGAGAGAATCCAATTCCTCCTGGCAATTGATACATATGACGACAATAACAACACACCCCATTTGTTAGGAGAATGAAAGACCACTGCCACCACTGGTAGTAATTGCCATTCCTTGAGCATTTGCTTCACACCAGCCACTGTCCTGTTTGCTTTCCATATATTATTTGAATGGTACAATATGCTTATCACATCTCCTGGCTCCTAAATAATAGGTCACTTAATAGTTGCTGTTCTTATGTGGAGTAGTAATAATAGCTAATATCTACGGGATGATCATTATGGGCTAGACCCTGTCCTAAATGTTTCATTGCTTTATTTAACGGTCACAACAACTCAGAAAGTTAGGATTATTGGTATCCTATTTCACAGATGGGAAAAATGGAAACTTGGAGAGAAGTCAATTTCCCTCGGTTACACAGGTAGTGAATGGAGGAACTGTGGTTCAAAACAAGGTCTGCTTAATTACAAGGCTTGTGACCTTCTTGTATACCATGCTAACCCTCCTGTCCCTGGAAAGCATAGGTGTTTTATAAAATGTAATGAGAGAGGGATGAAAGAATAAGAGAGAAGCCCAGACCTCAAAGCTCTCAGCAGGCAGCCTTTGGAGTCAGGCGGCGTTATTAAGGAAACCAAATCTAGCCTGCCCTGGATTAACTTATTCAGAGTTCAGCAAGGAAAGACAACATATTAGATTAAGGCTCATAAAAACAAGATGTTTCTCCGACTTGACGCTGAAACCCGTTTGGTTTCCCTCTGAAGCTGGCGAGGGCTCTGCTTGATGCGGTTTTAAGCTGTAAGGAATTCAGAGCCCATCATGGTGACTCAGGCGGGGGAGGGTGGAGCTGCTGGGGCCAGGCAGGAAGTCTGACTGCCTGGGTGGAGCTGGCACTTGCCATGTGTCAGACACCTTGCTAGGTCCCTTACGGCCTCCATCCTTTCAAGAGCCTATGCTTTGAGCAGCCAAATCAGGGTTCAACCTGCAGTTCGGCAACTTACTGGCTGTGCAGCCTTGGGCAGATCACTTCACCTTGCTAAGCCTCAGTTTCCTCTTGGGGGAAAAAAGTACTTACTATCAGATGGCTGTCATGATGATTATATAAAATGAATTGATGGTGTGCTCTCGGAGTATCAGGCACTGCTCTAAGCACTTTGCATCTATTATGTCACAGAATCTTCATAGCAACCTAATATTAGCTCCATCTTACAGGAAGGAAATTGAGGCACAGAGAGGTTAAGTAACTTGCCCAAGGTTTTCAAGCTGGAGGAGGAGGGTAAACCAGTATTTGAACCCAGGTGGTTTGAGTCTTACACCTGACCCTTAACCACTGCATCACCTCACTTCTCAGTGCATGCAAAGTGCTCAAAGCAGAGTCCAGCATGAATTAAGTACTTAATATGTGCCAGCTATTATTATTAATATTGAAATTCTGTAGGAGAATACCCAAGAGGAGCATAGAGGTAATGTGACTTGCCCAAGGTGACAGAGCTAGTCGGGAGCAAAGACAGAAGCTAAATCCAGTTTGATTTTCAAAGCCTGTGCTATTTTGATTTTCCCCCAAATTACAGAGGGGCATGGGCTGGGCATGAAGGAGGACATGGGGAGATTAGGCCTCATTTTTGGAAGGGACAGCAGGGTACCCACTCCCCATCTCCTCCAGCTGAAGATGTAATCTCTGCAGGTTATTGAGGGTATGGTCTGTGTTGGGGACTATGTATCCATACTCTTCTTTCAAGCCTCACATCAGGTAGGAATTTGAGCCCCTTTCATAGATGAAGAAACAGAGGCTCAGAGAGGTTAAGTAACTTGCCCGATGTCACACAGCTGCTAAGAGGCAGAGCAGGCTCCAACCCAATTCTGTCTGAGTCCAAAACCCTTATTTTAACTACTGAGCTATACAATACCCAATTCCCATCATTCATTCATTCATTCATTCCATATTTACTGCACACCTACTATGTGTCCCACCCTGTGCTGGGAGGCAGAAACAGAGGAACAATTCAAACAGTTTTTCCCTCTGAGGCATATCCGTAGCCCCCCGGAGGAAGACAGGCAAGTAAAAAGATAAATTATTTTTTTCAAAAAAATAACTTTTGCCTGATTATCAAATCGTATAGACTCATTGTAGAAAAATTAGAATACATAGGAAAAGAGAGAGATGAAAATAAAAATGACCCAGAGCCCCACCATCCATCAACAGCCAGTCAACACCATTGGTGTATTAGGTTCCTACCTTTTTCCTTTATGTGTTTATTTCCAAAGCATATATTTTATACATGTAGCATTGTATCCAGCTTTTTCCCATTATAGCACTGTTTAATTTTGGTGCCAGAGATTGTGGCTGTTGGTATCTCTGGGCTTACAGAATGCCAGTATCATAACCCAAGAGAAATAGATTTCTTCCTCCCATCTATACAAATCCAAAGAATAAGTCACGCGCCCTTCCCCAGAGCAATCAATTACTAGCTTGGTGGGAGAGACAATCATGATTGGCCCTGCCAATGCCAATGTCTTCCCATGGTCAGGGCAGGTAAGGTCTGTTAACAAAAAAATAGGAGGAAGGGTGCTTTGAAGGCACACACAGTACATTACAGCCCACCCCTTCACTCCACTGTGGACATGTCTGTGACATACACTCTCACTCCTGTTAATTTGATTATTAAAATTCTCATCTAACACAGTCCACTTTCTTACCTATAGTCCAATGCACCGACCCTCACCGTAAGTCGAGACTATGCAAAATTATAGTACATCCAACTCCGAGCCCCTCCCCATCAGGCGTCAGTGTGGCTCTTTATGACCCTGAAGCCTGTGGTCCACAAAGAAGTGAAACCTCCCCAAATGTAAAATGGTTAGAAGACAGACCTGAGCTTACATTTTAAGGGAGACACAAGCTGTAGGAACTGGGGCAGACTACATAGCTTCTAATTCCACTTAGAAAAGAGTAACATGAAGTAATGTGAGTGGTTACCTGTTAGAGCATATACCATATGCTAAAACTAAGATAAAGAAATGTCTAAGGCAGGCAGATATAATAGTCGCTAGGATGGGTTTCCTCATCTATAAAATGGGTTAATAAGAAGGGTGTGGGTTGAATTAAGAAACATTAGGCATGGTCCACAGTAAAGTTGACAGCACATAGTAGGTGCTCAACACATGATAATTTTGTTCCTTGCTATCTCTTTCTGTCTCTCCATCTCTGTCCCCCCCCACACACACACACACACTCTCTGTGGATCTGTGACAAAGACCTCATGCTGTGAAAACAACCCTTTCCCCACTTCCTCCTCTCTCCCTCCCTGTCTCTCCCCCTCCCTCCTTCCCATTCTCTATCTGTTTCTCCCTGCCCTCCCCCAGTCCCTCTTTTTTCTCCTCCTGCTGTCCTACGACATCCCTGGACACTCTGTCCTCTAGCAAGCTTTTGAGCTGAAGTTAGTGCGACACCGTCACCAACACGGCCCATAGACGCCCCCTCTCCCAGCTCAGGTGTGAAGAGCGTCCATGCCCCAGGTCACAGGGCCTGATTCCATCTGTGACAGGAGGGACATATGTTGTTGAACAAGCGTAATCACAAGACGCGAGCTTCTCCAGAGCTGTCACCATCTGATGTGCCCGCTCTAGGGAGGCGTTGTTTCTTTTAAGGATGGACTGTTCTTAGTCGACCAAATCACCTCTGTCTTACGCAAAGTAATTCAAGGTGATTGAGGTTGTCGAGGTACCTGTCTAGCAGGGCTGACAAATCCTGCACTTAGCAGGGCAGCCTTGATGGGCACGATGGGACGAGCCTGCATCCTTGGCTAGACCCCGCTCTGAACCACGAGTGAGGGGGGGGCAAGCAGCCCACAGTGTAAATAGACAGCAGCCTCGCCAGGGAACGTGATCAAGTGGCGTGGAGTATTTGCCTCAGTCATTCCCTAGGAGGGCCGTCTCACTCCAAGGGCTGACTGGCTCCTCAGTCCCACCTCCAGTGACGTCCAGGTGGAGCCGAGGAAAGAGCACTGGTTCGGGCGTCCACAGACCTGGATGGAAAGCTTTGTTCTGCCGCCCGTTAGCTGCAGGTTTCAGGTGGGCCCCTTCACCTTTCTGGGCCTCTACTCAATCATCTAAGGAAAGAGTGTGAGCGTGCCAGTGCTTCCCACTTCACGTGGGTCGTGGCAAAGATCGCCAGCGTCAATCAAGCATAGGAGGCCGTCGTCCAGCACATAGGACAGAGTGCCTGGGTCCAATCCTGGCCCCACATGTACAAGCTGTGTTTCCCTGGGCAAGTGACTTAACCTCTCTGGGCCTCCGTTTGTTCTTCCGTGCAGAATGGCACTGTTAGTACTTACCGCGTAGGATCATTGTAAAGATTCGATGTGTAAAGCACTCAGCAAAGTGCATGTCCAAATTAACAATTGTAGGAACATGTGGGAAAAGACCTTACAAACTGTAAATTGCCATCGTCCTGTGTGAGTGTCACTATTTACCACGAAGTACAGGAATACGTTTACTACTTTAAGAAAATGAAGTGTAGGGTTTAAAATCGGATAGTTGTTTTACATAATTTAAAATTCTTCTTGGGTGGGAAGCATTCACTTTGGCCCACAATAGAGGCAAAGTGTAAAGTCCTTATACAGCCCTGTGAATGGCCTGTCTCTTGTTTCCACACACCTTCCCTTTGTGCCTGTTCTACACAAGGCACTTTGGTAGACCCGTTTACACAAATCATTCCCATTTTAACCTCCTTGGGTTGGTATTTTCATCCCCATTATGAAGAAACCTAGGCCTCAGGGTGGTCAACCAGCCTAAACTCACTAGGCCAGTGCTAGGATGTAACACACGTGAGATAAACACCCAGACCTTGAGATAGCCAAGTCCAGTGTCCCTCCCGAGGAAAAATAAATATCTTAAGGCTAGAAATGATGCCATGCTATCCACTGTCAAATTCTTCAGAGCTCTCTTAATATGGGTCTCATCTGCTTGGTGCTTAGGGAATGGTCCTGCAAGCCCAGTTGTCTCCAGCAGAGCCCAAGAGTTTGACCTTCACCCTGGCCACAGAAGGGCCCCTTTCTCTACTCTGTTGGCCTCCAGGGCCCACAGCCTGACCCATTGGACTCCACTGCCCTGATGGAGCAGGTTTTGCCAATGCACACCGCTTTCAGTCTCTTTTGTTTCCACTTTTCTGCTCAGAGGAAAGGATTGGTACCAAAAGGTCGACAAGGCCACCTAGCCAGAGGCACCTGCTTACTCCTGTGACCCTTTCCGCTTTGTCCCCAGCCAAATCTGACTTTTCTCCTTTCCTCAAAGCCAAGTACATCGGCTGCTACCTGGATGACACCCAGAGTCGGGCCCTGCGAGGCGTGTCCTTTTTCGACTACAAAAAGATGACCGTCTTTCGTTGCCAGGACAACTGCGCAGAACGGTAGGGCCCCAATGTCTCAGCGTCCATTCATGTCAGACCTCTTCCTTCTCAGGTTTCTACCTGTAGTGTTTCTTCCTTTCCCATGGAAGGATGTGCTGGAGGATGAGCACGTGATCACTAGGAAAGGGTGATGCAAGGGTGCGTGTGTGCGTGTGTGTGTGTGTGTGTGTGTGTACAATGCATGCAAACGAGCAGGATTGTTTGGGAGTTGGTCTGGGGGGTGTTGTGATTGTATAGTGGAGACTGTGCCTAGGAGTGAATTTGCAGTGTATACAGTGTGCTGGGTCAGCTGGTTACATCTGTGAGCTTAATGCCATCACACAGTTATATTTGAATAATAGTGGCTGTGTGTGCAGGAGTCTGTGACTATGTGGGTAGGGGTCTAGAATTTTGCTTGTGTGTGGGAAAAGCACAATTGAGTGTTTAAGTGCATGCACGTGTGAGTCTGCGATCAGGAGGCTCGTGAGATGTCCTGGGGAAGATGAAGAGGGACCCTGGGTATCATGGATACTTAATGGCTTCTCAGCAGAGAAACTCCTTGTTTTTCTCTCAGGGAGAAACACTCACCTGTATAGATCATGCTTTTTAATCTAAGAAGAAAGGGATATTTTGGATTAAAATGTGCACCAGGGAAGGGAGCTGACTTCCCAAGAGTAGATGAGTCTCCCAAGGACTGGCAAGCAGGGACAGAGCCCTCAGTCCAGGCCTGGGCACCAGCATTGCTGCCCTAGGGGCACCATGAGGCTAAACTGACCTTCTCCTCCCCTTGTGTCCTGGGTCCCTTAACCTGTGGTGACTTGTGAAGAGACCTCTAACAGGTTCACCTTCAGACTGTATCTGGCTGGCTCCAGAGGTCACAAGCTCTGAAGGACCTCGACTCCATGGCTGGAGTGAAAATGGGCAAGTGGGTGACCTAGGGCCCCTGATTAGGAAATACTGTTCCCTCTACAATCAGCTTCCTGAGTATCCACCATTGAAATCCTGAGCCCAGGACCTAGAAAGGTGCTGAAAACACAGAGATGAATCTGCCACAGCTCTGCCCTCAAGGGGTTCCCCAGCTATCTGGGGAGACAGAGGCACAAACAGACTTGGACAATAGAATAGCAACAGCTTACACTTAGTGGGCGCTTGCTCTCTGTCAGGCACTGTTCTCAGCACTTTGCGAAGATTAATTATTTAACCCCCACAAGGCTCCCTGGGAGGCAGGAATGTTAGGATTCACATTCTACGGATGGGGAAACGGGGGTGTGGAGATATCAAGAGTGATGGGTGCTGAGCTGGGGGTACTGTACAATGTGCAGGGGGGTTGCAAAGGTTGAAGGAATGGAGGGCTCCACATGGAGAGCTCAGGAAGAGTCGCAAAGGTGAAATCTTGAGCTGGGTTTTGGAGGATGAATAGGAGTTTCCTAGGTCGTCACAGTAGGGCAGACATAACAGCATGCTCAAAGACCAGAGCTCCTGAAACATGCTAACTACTCGGTGTCCTCAGGTAGGCAGTTTAGGGGTGCACAGAGGCCCCGTGGGGGCTATAGAGAAAGCGAAGCTGCACAGTTGGCTGAAGTCTACAGACACAGGGTCTGCATGTCAGCCAAAGCGTCTGGATTGGCCTGGAGGGCAATGGGGCGCCACTGGGAGGTGTTAATCAGGGGGAGTGGGCTACACTCACTCATTAAATAGGGGGTGTGGCGGTATGAGTCTGGGCGGGTCTGTCTTTCCAGCTGGCCCCCGGAAGCCCATCATCCCAGGATATGGAGGTGAACATGACCACAGGGTCCCTGCCCACGTGGAGATTATATTCTGGAGCGGGAGACAGACAGTTTACAAGAGAAATAAAGACATAAACAAGATCATTTCAAAAGTGATAAGAGCTGTAAGATAATAAAACAGGGCAGTGGGAGAGTGCCAGGCGGGCGGGGTGACATTAGGTGGGTGGTCCAGGAACTGCTTCTCTAGGAGGGACAATGAGCTGAGACCCAGAAGGCAGGAAGGAGCCACCCACGCATGTGCAGAGCAGGGTCAGAGTCCAGGCAGAGGGCAGAAAAGATAAAGGCTGTGGGTCAGGACCGCGCTCGGCATGTTTAAGGAGCACAACGCTCTGGGCAGTGGCTGGGTCCGCAGAGGGAGGAACAGAATGGTGGGAGATGAGGCTGAGGAGGTAGGTGGGTGGTGGGAGAGATGGGGGGGACCAGATCATCGAGAACAGGGGCTCTGAACCTGGAGTGTACATGAGCATCACCCAGAATGTTTCAAACCACAGATTGCCGGGCCCCACCCCCACTTCCTGATCCAGCAGGTTTGGGGTGGGGCCCGAGAATTTGCATTTTTAACAAGTTCCCAGGTGATACCTCTGCTACTGGTCCTGGGACTAGGGTTAGAGCATCACTGTTCGGATTTTCACACCCAGCTGCACATGAGAATCACCGGGGAAACTCAGAACTCTTGCCGCCCAAGTCCCACCTGAGTCAGTTAAACTAGACCCCCTGGAAATGGGACCCAGGCGTGGCGTTTAAATGTATGTTCCCCGGGTGATTCTAACAGCCATCCAGGTTAAAGCACCACTGCTAGGCGGGTTCGTAGGCCAAGCCAAGCCACCTGGATGCTTCTTGAGAGCCCTCATGACTCTGGAGAACGCCTGGGAGGCCCCAGCGTGGGAGAGCTGAGCGGGGGCTTGTCCTCCCTCGGCCCCGCCCCCCGGAGCCAGAGCAAGCCACACCCCTTTCATCTGTTTACAGAAAGGCTGTCCACTATGAGGCCTTTTTAGGAAAAGATTCCATGGCTATGAAAAAAAGAAAAAAAGAAAACCTTGCGATGTCTGGATTTTTTTTTTTGTTTTAGGGAAAGGAATTTTTTACTTGGCTGGATAAGCGGCCTCGATTTTTGCCGTCGTCCATGGATACCAGAGCCCCTGCCTCCTTCTCTTGCTCCAGCTCCCCTCAGGGGACACTCAGTGTCATTCCTGAGGATGCTTCCTAGAATAAAGGGGCTGGATTCTGGGAATATGTTTGGCTCACGGCTCTAGACAGGGAGGAGCAAGACAGTGGGGTGGGGGGACCACAGGATGTGAGGGGTGTGTGTGTGTGTGTGTGTGTGTGTGTGTGTGTGTGTGTGTGTGTGTGTGAAGTGCGCCATGTGCTGAAGTTGTACACAGATGGGTGTCAATATGGACATGGTGTGTCTGTGGATAGGTGTATGAAGATATAAGACGTCAGGCGGGGATGAAGGCAGGTGGGTGGTGCCTGGGGGTCCTGGTCCCCAGACCCCTCCCGTCCTCCAGTCTCCACGCTGGGTGAGTCTTCCTGTTCCCGGGGTCTCTCCCCATGGTGGCAGCTGCCCTGGGCTGACAGCAGCCTCCCCCAGGGGTTACCTGTATGCCGGGCTGGAGTTCGGCGCTGAGTGCTACTGCGGCCACAAGATCCAGGCGACGAATGTGAGCGAAGCTGAGTGCGACATGGAGTGCAAGGGCGAGAGGGGCATCCTGTGCGGCGGTGCCAACCGCCTCTCCGTCTACCGGCTGCAGCTGGCACAGGAGTCGGCCCGCAGGTGTACGTGAGTTGGCCCCGGCCCCTCTCTGCAGCTCCTCCCTCGGCCAGCCGGTCAAGGCCCTCCCCTACCTGCACATCTGCCCTGCCCCTTCCGTGGTTCCCCATCACTCACTCCCATGCCCTTAGCTGCCCTCCACAATCCTGCCCCAGCCTCGCCCCCCACCCCACCCCGCCCCGCGCGGGGCCCTGGTTCTAGCTACTTGGACTGTTTCCACGTGCCCTCTCCTCTTCCTCCCCTGAGCTGCCTCCTGGACCACCTGCAACCTTCATTTGCACCCCATCTTCCTCCTTAACAAACCAAGCTAGAGCCTGAGCTCAGCCTGTCCTTCCTGGTTTTCTGAAAACAGACCATCTCTAACAAGGATGACAATGACAATAGCAAACAATGCGTCCTTTTCTAAGTACCTTGTATGGAATTTTCCACCTAATTCTCACACTGACCCTTGAAATAGGCACTGTTCTTCACCTACTCCCATTTTATAGTTGAGGAAGGGGGGTGAGTAGGAGAAGACAAGAGCTGGCTCTCTTCTGTGGACACTGTCCCCTTGTCCCCTCTCTGCATGTTTAATAGCAATTAATATCTGATTATGATGAATCTGCTGTGTGCTAAGCCCACTGCAGGGCCCATCCCATTTACTTTCCCTACAACTTTTTCAGGCAGGGATGTTACCATTGTGAATGATCCCCGTTTTACAGTGGGGAAACTGAGGCTGAACAAATTTAAGTAAGCCTGCCCAAGGCCACACAGTCTAATGAAAGAGGACCTTCTGACCTTCATAAAGAGCTAATGGTTTTGACCAAAGATGGAGGGCTGAGGTTTCTCCTGGGTACCCTTCCAATGCAATTTAGAGGCAGGGACAGGAATCGGACAACTGCGTCTCTAACCCTGGGGCCCGCGTTTCCCAAACTTGAAGGTGCCAATGAACCCTACAGGGATCTTGTTAAAATGAGGGTTCTGATTCAGCAGGTTGGGGTGGGATTCTGTGTTTCTGAGGAGCTCCCAGGCGATGCTAGGCTCCTGCTTCAGGGATCACACTTTGAATAATAAGCCCTTAGACCTCAGTGGAGCTGACAAGGTCCGCCTGGAAGGTAAACCTGTCACACAGGTGGATTTGGCAGAACTTAACACCTGTCTGCATGCAGAGAGAGGCGTCTTCCATGTGCATGTCACTGTTTATAAAAATGCATCATTGGCTTGCTTGCTAATGCGTTCTGTTTTTGTAATGCCATATTTTTGAAGCCCTGTTCAAGCTTTGCTCCGCAAATAGGGTTGAGAGTGCTGCCAATTTGCCAAGGGGCTGATTCCTGCAAATGGATGCCCCCTCCACCTCCCAGTGAATCTGAAGGCCCAGGCTGGCAGATCTGAAGGCCTCGCTGGCAGAGGACAGAGGTGGTGTGTGAAATCCAGGCTGGACAGTGTTCCCGCAGCGAGACCCTGGCTTGGCTGTTAGTGTAATGAGGTTTTAATTTGATGGCAGATTTATCATCCTCATCACTGATCCCTTCATGCCAATATTTATGTTATTTTGATGACGACATTTACCTTCTGAAGAGATGGCCTTAGAGTCCGGGTGTTTTGAGGGAAAGCAGCTGCCTGCTACAAAAACATTCCAGTGTTTGGATGAGGACGAGTGAGATAAGAACTGGGCCGTGTGTGTCATTAGCCAGATACTAGCCAGATGTCCTTTTGGTAAATGTTCAGATTGGCTAGATAACCTGGACT